GGGCTGGGGTTTAGGGTTTAGGGCTTGGGGTGAGGGTTTAGGGTTTGGGGTTTAGGGTTTAGGGCTTGGGGTTTAGGGTTTAGGGCTTGGGGTTTAGGGCTTAGGGCTTGGGGTTAGGGTTTAGGGCTTGGGGTTAGGGCTTACTAAATCGAAGACAAATGCTAGTACCAATGCTATGCAACTGCTAGTGCGAATACGAGGATGAGCAACAATTATGTGTTGGGTGCTGTTTTGAGAAAGTTGCTGGGTGTGGAGGGTTTTGGTAGGCGTTTTCAGCAGTTCTCTGTGTGTGTGTGTGTGGGTGTTTTCCGAGGTTTTTGGGTCTTGCGCGGACTTTAGTACTTGGGGCTCTGGGGTTTTGTGGTTTCGGGGTTCTCGAGGTGCAGTTTGTGTTTTTGCATTAGGAGGGTCTGCCATGGTCTGCCTGAAAAGTGGAGTGAGATTGAACATTGTGGGAGCAAGATTTGCAGATTTGCAGGTCAGTTGACAGAAGAACTCTCCAGACATGCGCGGACCTGGCCGCTGATGGCCCGCAATGCACAGCTCCCTCATCCTCTGTCTACCTTGCTGCAGCTGCATTGTGATGTGGAAGCTCGGCATTAGGGCCAGGGCAGCGCTCCGTGAGAAAGAGAAGCAAGCGTATTAACCCTAAACCCTACACCCTAAGGTCCCCAAAAATGATAAGACGAGCGATCTTGACAGGGTAGCTGTTCAGCTGCAAGATACATCAGTGTAATCTCGCAACATCCGTTCCAACACGATGAACTGCTGAACACTGGCCGCTCAGCGAAGCTTTTTGAACTCATTCTCCGTGCTTGCCAAACTTACTTGCTTCTCGACAACAGCTCCTTGCAGCGGATAGAGCGCGATGATCCAAAGCGCGGATGAAACCAATATAGCTGAACCCGTCATGGGACTTCCTCGAACCACAATCCTGCGCAGGAGAACCTGAGCGGAGCAGGCAGCACAGTGCAGGCCTCCTGCGGGCTTTCAACTTGCCCCTGTGTGGATATTCGATTCGTTTTTATGTAGAGGTTTCGGGGTTTCGTATTGTTTTTCAAACGTGGGGATCGCCACGTGGACATGGTTGCAGAGGCAGATGATGATGCATTATTCAAGAAGTACGACGTCGGCTATTGCTGCTGTTTTTCCTTTGGTTCGTTCGACAACGGCGACGGCAAGTGCTGCTGCTGCCCCTCGTCTTTTTGCTCCTGTGACGACGACAGTAGCAACAGCGGCCCTTGCTCCTGCTCTGGCTCCTTCTTGTACTCCTGCTGCTCCTGCTCTTGTGCCCTGCTACAATTTCTACATATATTGTGATTCGTGTTGTTACTGGTATTCCTGCTGGGCTACCACTACGGCTGCTGCCCCTGCTGCTGCTGCTGTTGCTGTTGCTGCTGCTAGTATTATTGCTACTGCTCCTCCTACTATTACTACCACCACCACTACCACTACCACTACTACTACCACTACTACTACCACCACCACCACGACTACTACTACTACTACTACTACTACTACTACTACTACTACTGCTACTACTACTACTCATCCTACTCCAACTCTTACTAACACTACTCCTGCCCCTGCGGCTTCTGCTGCC